GAACTGCTGACCCTAAGGTTGGCAGCCCGATTCGTAACCACTATGCTACCAGAGCTCCTTATAGATGGGAATTAACAACCATGGAGTTAGTGAGAATATTAAGGGTACTTGTGCAGTATTGGAGAATGCCAGAGTCTAATGTCGGAGAGATCAAGGGAAAGAAAGATCTTGAAGGAGACAGTTGTTTTTAAGTGCCATTGAGTCACCTTGGACTCACAGCAACCCCATATAGGGTTACCGAGGAGCAGCTGGTAGGTTTGAACCACTGAGCTTGTGGTTCCCAGTCCAGTGCTGATCCAGGAGAGAGTGGGCAGAGCTTAATGCTTCCAAAATGTTCAGTAATGACACCAGCATCCTGTCCTTTGGATTTAACACAGTCTAATGGTGATCTTGAATTAGTTTCAGTAGAAAGATGGGGGTAGAAACCAGATGACAAGGAGATAAGAGAGAAAGAGCAATAGTTGGGGGTGGGGGCATGGGTTAAGGGACGGGTTTTTCAAAATATTGAAGAGATTAGACTTGAAATTGTGTAAATACTGTTGGAAGCAGCTACCTGAGAGAGGATACAGGAGGAAGAGTGGATAAGTGCTTCAGTAAAGTCCTTGGTAAGAAGTTGACATAGCACGCAGGTAGAAGGATCCTCAGATCACTTGGTCTTGGACCATGAGGCATTATTGTTGGCTGCCATCCAGTCAGTCCCTCATTCATGGTGACTTCATGCACAATGCTGCCTTTGCCTGGCCATTGTGATCCATTAGGTTTTCATTGGCTCCTTTTTGAAAGTAGATCTCCAGACCTTGCATTCTACTCTGTCTTAGCATGGATATTCTACTGACATCTGTTGTATATCATAACAACACAAAGACTGCCTAGGACAGATAAATGGTAGTTAGTTACACATGAGGTGTGAGTCAAAACTTGAACTCGGGTCTTCACAAGGGAAGGGAAGGATTCTACCACTGAATCACTCACTACTGCCCCCTAGGCCATGAAAAGGATACCTCTTCTGCTTTTGTTATAGGAGGAAAAATGGGTGACAATACGGGCAAGTTAATAGGTTCAGGCAGAAAACTGAGCAAAATTCTGACCAACAGCATCCTTTTTTTTCTCTATGAAATTAGAAGTGCAAATTGTAGCATCACACCTTTGAAGATAGTAAAGAAGGTTAGGAAGAGCCATGATGGAAAATAAGTATATTTAGAGATACAAAGACTCACACACAAAAAAGGGAAATTTGGGGAGGAAAGTTCTCTTTTATTTTTTCTGCAATTATCTCAGAATAAACCAACATGGTTTTCAGAATGAAAAAAAAATGTGTTCTTTTCTAGTTTTTATGGTATTCTTATAGTTTTCATCTTCCCTCTAGCCAAGCGTTACCTCCTCAGGAAGTCTTGTGGTTCACTTGGTGGTAACTGTGGTTCCATGGATGATTCAGGAATACAGACCATGCCCACAGTGTGGGACACATAACATTCACTTTATGCATGGTCATAACTGCCTGTCTTCAGGGGGACAGACTTCCCTTCTCTGAAGCCAGCCAGCCAGCCTCTCAACTCTACAGTACAAAGAGGCTCTTCTGTAAAGGAAGACCCCTGCCTGTCCTTTTGACTAAAAGGCAGGTACAGGAAACTTCCTAGTGCCTAGCACTTCCAGAACCAAGTCGAGAGGCAGAACTGGGGATGGGGTGTGAGGTCAAGCTGGACTGGGAAATTGGGTGTCAGGGAATGGAGGAGGCTGTCTGCTGCGACATGGGGTGGGGTAGAGTGGTGAAGCACAGTAGAGTAACTGAGCAAGAAGGCAGAAGTGAATAAAGTCCCTGAAACTGCTTGCTAGCTCCAGCTGACAAGAAAGGGGGAGGAGAAAACTGTAAAACTGTGGTGGGAGGGGGGGCGGAGGGAGAGGACTGTTAGGAAGTTATTTAAGAGACAACTTTCTTGTCACTTTTTCCTGCGTCCTTTTGAGGAACTGCCCAGAGACTCACCCACCAATTTGCCTCAGAGCCCCTCAGGAGAGCACCTCAGGTAAGCTCCCTCTCTTAGCCCGAGGAGCATCTGGCTCTCACTGCACTCCTGAATCCCAGGCGATCCCTTTGGCACCCGGATAGGGGTTAGAGGCAGCTCAGCTATCCCTTTACAGCTCTTTGTCCTCAACTCTGCACCTCCTCAGCCTCACTTCCCAGGGGACACTTCTCTCAGGTCCTCCGTGGTGAAACTTTCATGTAAGTGCTGCTTGCTAAGAAGAGAATGGGAATCAGGTGACTTAAGTAAGAGGGAGGATGGATTTCCTTGCCTCAGGGAGAAATCATCTAGAGATGCCTGCTTAGCAGGGAACGCTCACAGGTTGGCTTCCCCCTCCAGAGCTATCCTCATCCCCATTGAAAAGGAACTTCCGCTCCTTCCCTTCTCCTAGACTCGCTGAAGGTGGCGCTCTGCCCTTCTGCATTTACCAGGGAAGTTCTGTACTAGTTCCATTCTACCTGGCAGAGCTTGGAAGACCCTGCTTGTCCACATCACAAGTTCACTCCCCAAAAGACTAATGTACCCTTCTGTGTGGTCTTCCCCCAACTCTATCACTCCCTATCAGAACCAACTCAACTGCATGCTAAGCTTGTTACTTGTCATTCTATCCCACCCCAATGCTGGCAGCCTATTCCAAATCATAGGGACCCTATAGTGGGTTTCCTAGACTGTGAAACTTTATGGGAGCAGGCAGCCTTGTCTTTCTCCAGCGGTGTGGCTGGTGTGTTTGCACCTCCAACCCTGAGGTTAGCAGTCCAATGCTTAACCCCATTTCCCATCAGAGGAATGCTTTCTCCTGCCCTCTCTCTCATGAACTCTTTTTCTGTCTGCCCTCCTGCTATGCACTGAAGACTGCATATAAATATGTGTATAGATATTTATGGATACCTGATAACCAAGGTGGAGTCCTGGTGTGAAGCTGTAGAATAAGCACTGGAATGCTAACTGAAAGGTCAGCAGTTCAAATCCACCACCCTATACAGAGTCACTACAAGTCAGAACCAACTCAACAGCAATTAACAAGAAGTCAATTGAAGTGGAGCTCCCCAGCACTCCTCAAGAGAAAGATGAGTCAGTGCGCTTCTAAGAAGATTTATAGACTTATGGAGTAGTGGTACTCTGATATGAGTTGGAATCTACTATTAGTTTGTTGTGTTATGCCCAGAATTCAGGGTCCCCAAAGACCACCCAGGAGCTGTGTACCGATGCAAATACATAAGGGTTGTTTAATCAAGCTCGAGCCAAGTCTCTAACCTTATCCGACATTTCGGAATAGGGAAAGAGCCCCGAATTCATTGTCTGCAGGGTTTTTATAGAATTTTCAAACAGCTCAGGTTTCTCAGCTTTACAATCTTTGGATTGGTTAACAATTGGCAAACTATGAGATGTTACAGTTTAATTGGTCAGGACTGGTGGTCTTTGTTCTTAGGCTAGGGTAAAGGAAAACATCTGGCCTCTGGCCTTGAGCTGCCTGGCTATTTATGCATATATCATATTCTTGGAGCTAGAGTACGTGTTCAGGCTAATGTACAGAATGGAGATTGACCTTGCCTCTGGAGGGAACTAATAACTGAGGCCTTGTCTATTTAAAATGCTTTCCTGAGCCTGACTAGAGTTTAGTCAAGCAGTTTCTAGGTAGGCAAAATCAGTTTGGTCCTTACAGTTGTTGTTGTTGTTTTTGGGGGGAGTGTTGTTTATCCAGACTTCATATCATATTTTCAAAAGACTTCTGTTATTACAAGACCAAATGTCTTGGAAAGTGGCTCTCTTTGTCTAGCCAGGCTGCCATTGCTCAACTTGTTCTGGAACAGTCTGCTCCAATTGCCCCTACAATGACAGCGCTTCATCTGTTAAGGGTGTGCCTGGTTTTGTATAAGAGCCAAGTTAATGGGAATCATGACTAGGCAATCAAGGTGATCAAGGGGGAAACATCCTCAGCTGGGGCCAGAAACAAGGTTTCCATTCATTGGGTCAGCTGGTCAACAAATACTTGCTGGGCACCGACAGTGAGGTGTGGAGTGTTTACACTGGTCCTGTGCTTGCACAAGCCCTGGAGGAAGGGGAACTATGCCTGAGCAACAGCAGTGTTAGCACTACTGACCAGGTCAGTATAGAAAAGTCTGCACAGCCTTGCTGTGTCCATCCTATTTGACATTACAATCCGCCTCCCTTTCTCCTCTCAAACACTGCCTCTCCTTGGTCCTGCTCCTCTCCCTTCTTCTTCCCGAGTAGCCATCACTATCTTACACACTACCCGGTTTACTTATGAATTATTGCCAAGCTTTCCTTAACTCCCACTAAACTGTAAGCCCCATGAGGACTGGGATCCTTGGTGTTCTATTCGCTCATGTAGCCCATGTGCCTTTGCCATAGCCTCACTCATGTTAGAGTAGAACTGAGCGCCATAAGGTTTTTAATGGCTGATTTTTCACAAGTAGATTGACCTTTCTTCAGAGACATCTCGGGGTGGACTCAAACCTTCAACCTTTTCATTAGGAGTTGAGCATTAACTGCACAACTCACGGTCCTCAGTATCATTAGTTAAATTGAATTGCAAAGTGAATGTTTGAAGGGCAACACTTACTTAGACATTGTTTTAGGAGTCTATTCTTGAAACTGACTTGGGTCTTATAATCTACTCTTGTATATTAGGGGCATATACATATGGCAGATGTTGCCTTTAGAGGGATGGAAAACCACAATTACAAATCTGCCCTCCAGAATGGCTCACATTTTAAAATTTTCTTCAAATACATTTAGACAAACACCAAATCTCTTGGGGAACTATATCCACCATTTGACTAATCCTCCTTGCCACGTCTCAGTTTTTATTTATGCTAAACTTGGAATGTGTTGCTCAAGTTCTATCACAAACAGGCATGTCTGCTTCTCTATTCTTGATTGTTTTTCTCAAATGTAATTCATTTCACATGTCCTTTTCCATGTTTCTTCCTCGGCATGGCCCTCCTCAAGTTGGTTGTGAAGCTGACAATGTCTGAAACATCCACCACTCCCTTCGGAGGCAGGAGATCTGTCCCACTCAACAACTCCAATGCTTTGGAAGCTGACCTCCCCACTAAGGAGCTGCAGGGCCTGGTGCCCCGAGGTGTCAGCCTACAAGGTACGTAGTTGGGGCACATTGCTAGCTCCCAGGCACTGGGGTGAGCAACTTTTGCCTCCACTGAACTCCTCAAAATGGATGTCCCTTCCATATCTGATTTTAAAGAAGACCAAACCAAATGCCATCAAGTTAATCCTGACTTATGGAGTCTCTACGTGTGTCCGAGTAGAACTGTGTTCCGTAGGGTTTTCAGTAGCTCATTGGGGGAAGTAGGCCTTTCTTTCAAGGTGCCTCTGGGAAGACAAGAACTTCCAACTTTGTGGTTAGCAGCTGAGCATGTTAACAGTTTGTACCACTCAGAAAATCCTGTTATAAGAAAGGACTCCAAAATCGCTTTTGAGTGGTTGAAATAGAGAGACATGGATTCTTATTCAGTTCTGCCATTTAGAAACCCTATCACCTGAGGCAAATTACTTTGTTTCTCTCCTCATTATTTCCTCAACAAAACAAGTGTGTTGCATATGAGGTCTCTTCTAGCCATACTGTGCTGTGCTTTGGAAGACTAGTCTCCAGCTGGAAGACTCTACTTCCAAAAGATTGTGGCTGTTTGGGTTGTCTGGCTTGCATCTTCTTTCTTCTCCTTCCTCTACCTATTGCTGTGACTTTCAGAGTGCATGAGAGGTGCCAGGCTCTTGACATCACTGGAAATTCAGAAGACTGTTTCTCTCTGAGCTCCTTGGTGAGCAGAGGCAAGCAGATACCTCTGTCTGGGTTTATGCCTGATCTTAGGGGATCTGACTTCTACTCAGCCCATCAGGTGTGACAGGGAATAGGAGCAAGTAGTGGTTAGGTAACAGGTGTTGGTTCTTTGGGCACTGACATGGACATTCAGCCCTGCCACCCTGAGTATCATCAAGCCGGGAACGTCTCATCACTAGCACACACGCAGCTCTATGGGACTTACCTTTGCTCCTGCAGGTGCTCTGTGCTGGGTCTAGCAGGAGGAAAACATCCAGTTGTTGGGGTTTGTCAGCATGATCATGATCACCTTGAGGCTCTGTGGGCAATTCCCTTCATCAGAAAGAGCTCATAGTGGAAAGTCCTAAGCTGTTGCAACTCTCTTGGCAGCAAGACTCAAATCAGGAACACAGAGAAAGGACCCTCTGAATTGCTAACAGATCCAGCAAGTCAAAGACCTGCCCAGACATTGTGAATAATTGGGTTGTGATGCTGTCATATCTCGATGCTTTGATATCAAATTGTGAAAAGACAGAGACAGCCAGTCTACTGCAGTTATTACTGTCTAACACACTAACCTGACTGTGTGGGTGTGTGTTGTGTGGTGTGTGTGGTGTGGTGGTGGTGTGTGTGGTGTGGT